GACTAGCACTAATGGTGTCAATAAGACGTGTCCAGATTCTGAAAGTGTTCTGAATGTACTGGCAAAATGATTCACTGACCTTGAATGTGGAATATGGGAAAAATGAGTCAATGTGACTCTAAGGTTTGGAGCCTGAACAGGTAGATGAGTAAAACCACTGTTTACTCTGAGAGCATGTGAGGAGAGAAGGTCAGGGAGGAATCTAAGGAATAGGTTGCCAGATAGACTATGGGACACCCAGTTAAATTTTAATTTCAGATAAACAACCAATACGTTTTTCTCTTTTTAGTATAAGTAAGGACTCTCATGGACTATCTGAAATTCAAATTTAACTGAGTGTCTTCAGTTTGTTTTGGTTTGGTTTTTACTTTTCTTTTTGTTTAGAAACAAAGTGTTTCCAAATCTGGCAATCCTATTAAGATGAAGCTTAATTGGGGACATGATAAGTTTGTGATAACTGCTAGATGCCCCGAGGGAGAGGCTGAGTCACAGCTGCATACAGGGGGGAAATGGTCTAGGCTGGAGATAAGGAGCTGGGAGCTGTTGGCCTAGTCTTGATATTTTAAATTCTGAGGTGGATGACATTACCAGGAGAGTGCATGAGGACAGGGAAGAGAAGGGGTCCTAGGACTGAGCCCCAGGGCACCCCAGTGTTTAGAAGTCAGGGAGATCGAGAAGAACCAGCAAAGGAGACTTAGAAAGGAAAGAAGGAAGGAAGGCGAAAAATCAGGAGTCTGGGATGTTCTGGCCGCTCGGAGTGCAGGGAATGATCAGGGTAGAAACTTGACTGTGGGATTTCGCCACGGGAATGTTGGCAAGAGCGGTTTGAGGGGAATATGGGGAGTAAAGCCTGACTGGAATGAGCTCAGAAGAGGAGAGAGAGAGAGAATAAAAGGAGATAATGAATCAAGACAACTCCTTTGAGAAGTTTTGCTGTAAAAGGATGGAAAGAAATCAAGCAGATGCTGGAAGAAGTGGGGTCGAGGGAGGTGTGTTTGTTTTTTAAGATGGAGAAATACCAGAATGTTTGTTGTAATGGGAAAGACCCAGTAAAGAGCAAAAGGCTGATGACAGAGGAGAAAGAGAGGATATGGCGTGAGGGCCTGGGGTGGGTGAGAGAGGTGGGGTCAGGCACACTTGCAGAATAGCTGAATCCTGACAGTAACTCAGAAAAATAGATTACCTCCCTTGAGGATAAAGTGGTGCAGGCAGAAGTTCCAGGTCACTCTGGATGTTTTGGAAGGAAAGCAACTCTTTAGCCTGGGTCCTGGGACATCTCTTCCTACCCACAGCCCCAGACATGCTTCAGCAGGGCTGGAGAGCCCCCACGCTTCCGCCAAACCACTTCCAGAGGGTTCTGCCTGCTCCACCTCTGTGCTCAAGGACGGAGAGGGCCTTCAGGCCCAGGAGAGGGCCCAGCCCCCCACCACACCCACCACCCCTCCCCCACCCCACCCCCGGCACCCAAACACAAGGAAAATCTCAGCAGGAGAGGGAAGGTCCTGCCTCTTCCCAGGAAGCCCTTGCCTGAGGCCTGGGCAGAGTTTAGATGCAGGGGGCAGCCTGGGAATAAGACCAGCCTGGGAAAACTACAGTGGCAGGCTTCAGGCCTGCCGCCCCCAGAGAGCAGGTGCAGGCCCTGAGGGGAGTGGGGGTGGCCAGGGCAGCTGCCAAGCCCTGATGCAACACAGCCCTGCCCTGAGGCAGGAGGATGGCCTAGATGGCCTCCCACACATTCCCTTGCTCAGGGAGCAGAGGCTTGGAGTGGGACAGCAGGGTCTGGAGGTCCTCAGAGCCTCTTTCCGGAATGGGGACTCTCCCAGCTCACTCCATAAAAAGCAAAGGCCACTGGTTGGGGGCCCTGCCCAATGTCAGGGGCAAGGGGCAGCGTCTGGCCCGGTCAGAATGACAGGACCTGGGCAATCCAATCACTTGGATTGAATAACCAACCACACAGAGACATGATCACACACATGCAACCACACAGGCACACAGCCTCACACAGCCCCATCAGCCACCTCCAGCAGCATATACATTCACAACAACACCCACCAAACATACACACACATGCCCCACACTACGCCCGTAATACACAACTACCCCACCTCACACAGTAACAGACAGTCCTCACACATCACCTCGTGCGCACCCAACTTTCCCTTCACAAATAGGAACTGGCATCGGCGACATCCAGGCCCTTGAGACGCAGCAGGAGCACAACCGGGGAGCTCCCTGCTCTCAGAGGGCACGTCAAAGGCTGTTCTGAAGAGTGACCGCTAAGGAGGTGGGGGAGGTCTCTCCAGATGGGGTGACCAGGGAACGCCTCTGTAAGAAAGGGAGACCTGAGTAAGGGGGAGGAACCTGCCAGGTGGAAAGCAGTCCAGGCAGAGGGAGCAGTGAGTGCAAAAGGCAGGAGGCTGGACAGAGCATGGCTCGTCTCCGGAACAGAAAGTAGGCCAGTGTGACTGCGGAGCAGTGATTCCAGGGGGATGTGTGATGGGAGGTGAGGCAGGACTAGGTTGCTCGGGGGTTTGTCGGGAGAGTGGTGTGAGTATAAAGGTGATGGTAAGTCACTGCAAGGTTTTAATAGGGGAGTGATATCTTTAAAGAACTGCTTTAGCGCGAAGAAACCATGGGAGAAAAATTTCTTTCAGTTCTCAGAGTGGGGAAGGTATTTCTAATTATGACCAAACCCAAAGGCCATAAAAGATAAGACTGATACACTTGACTACATTTAAAAAAAAAGTGTAATTCTGCATGGCAAAAACTCCATAAGCAAAGTCAAAATACAAGTGTCAAACTCAGAGGAGAGGGTGGAATCCTTGCTCTTTGTATCATAGACAGCATATTTCTTTTCTTTGGTTTTGCTGTTGTTTTAGGGGGGAGGTAATTAGGTTTATTTACTTTTAATGGAGGTACTTAGGATTGAACCCAGGGCTTTGTGCATGCTAAACATGAACTCTACCACTGAGCTATACCCTCCCCCAGAGGGCATATTTCTTTAATATATAAAGAGTGCCTAAGAAATCAATAATTTTAAAAAGACAACCATCCAACAGAAAAATGGGCAAAGGCAAAAGGACAGCTCACAGAAAAAGAAACACAGCAGCCCTTAAGTATAGGAAAAGATGCTCATTCTCACTCATAATAAGAGAAATGCAAAGTAAACATATAATGAGATACCAGTAGCAAAGATCAGAAAGTTTGCTAATGCTCTATCTTGGCAGGATTTGGGGGAAATAAGCACTCTTATGTCTGATGGTAGCATAAATCGATACATCTATGGAGGGGATTTGGCAATATCAATCAAAATTTTAAATGAGCATACTTTAACCCCCAAAATTCCACTTCTAAGAATGTATCTTGAAGACACACACACACACACACACACACACACACAAACACAAAATGTGTTTAGTGTATTGTCCAAGTGTATTTATTGCAACGATGTTTATAATAAAAATACAAGATCGAAAACATCCTTAATTTTCATCAGTATGAGAGTGATAAATATGGTAAATATACTCTTTGGCTTTTTTTTTTAAGAGACAGTTCTGCATCTACTATAGGGGAAAGTGAAATACCATTCAAGGATTTAAAAAAAAAAGAATGAGATAGCTCTATATCTACTGAGAGAGGAAAATGTCCTATGTTTTGCTACATGAAAATAGCCAAGTGCAGAACCATGCACACAGCACACCTCCATAGGGCAAATGGAAAAAGAATAGTTATACAGCCAAATAGGCAGTTGATCTTAGGGAGGAAAAAAATAACTAGAAACCTGGTGGTCAGGTGGGCAGCCCTGGTCACACAATCTGGTGTGCAGGGAGAAGTCGGGACTGGTACTAGAGATGTGGGGCTCATCGGCGAGTGGAGGTATTGGAAGCCCCAGGACTGGATGAGCTCACTCAGGAGAGAAGAGACTGAGATCAGGATGTGAAGCTGTGTCACTTGCTTCTGAAGGCATAGGAGGCTGGGGACAGGGACTTGACTGTGGGATTTGCCATCGTGAAGATCCATGGTGACATCAACAGGGCTGCCTTTAATTTCATGGTTGGGTGGAAACATTGTTCAAATGGGTTGAAGAGTGGCTAGGAGGTGAGGAAGTGGGGGACGGGTTTTGCTCTGGAACGCAGCAGAGCAAGAGGTGGTAGGGAGCAGGTGGCAGAGTCAGGGACCACCCTCCCCCCCACCAGACACCATGATACATACTCACACATCTCCCCGCACTGACACGTGCCCAGAAGCACCCAGACCACCCAGCAGGATTTCCAAGGGCCAGAGTGAAAGATGGCCTCTGCCCTGTGGCTTTGCCCTCATCCGAAATTCAACACAGCTGAGGCCTCCTGAGCTGGCTCTGCTCCTGATTACCTGTGTGACCCTGGGCAAGTCACCTAACTAACCTCTCTGTGCCTCAGTTTTCTCATTCATAAAAGTGGGAAGAATGGTACCTTCCTCATCTGGCACTGGGAAGATGAAATAAAGCCTGCGGGACAGCGCCTGGCACAGAATGTCTCCAGGTCCCCAGTGTAGCCTTAGTTCTCAGCCAGGGGTAGTGTGTTGGGTGATGGTGTAATTGATCTTCCCAAGTTTGGGGGCCCTTCCGAGAGTAAAAGGGGTGCTGTTAATTATACCAGGGCCACAGGCATAAACCAGTACAGGGTTGGAAAAATGTCATGTATAGTCACCCTCCTGCTAACAAACTTCATCTCTGTTGACACAGGGAAGGCTCAGGCCCTTTGGTGACTAAGATCCCAGGACTCCCCGGGAGGCCGGAAACCCTGAGGATTCCCCTACTAGGCTGAGCTCCAGTGGCTATCATTAGTTTCGCAGTCACGGCACACTGGTAAATGAGACAAAGCGTCCTTGCCCCTAGAGCCCAGTCCAGCCGCGCCCAGCCGCGCCCAGCCACGCCCAGCCTCAGGCCCCGCCTCCCTCCGCAGGGGGTCTAGAGCACAGGTTCTGCTCCCCGCCCCTTACCCCACCCCTATAGGATCTTCCTTTTGTATAACTTCAGGCTACGACCTTCCCCCATCCCGCCCTCACCCCCGGACAAAGGATCCCCCCATCTTCTTTCCGGTACAGTGACGACTCCTGCGGCAGCCACGGGGTCTGCCCCCTACCCTGGTTCTCCAAAGGGCACATGCCCTATTCCAGGACACGGAGCTCAAGCCAGGCAGCAATGCTGGGAGGACAGCCGCCAGGAGGGCCCCACGCAGGGTCGAGGCCAAGCGCCGGGCGGGGACAGTGACTGGCAGGGCGCGGACACAGTACAAGTGGTAACGCCACGTGGGCGAGTCCGGATTGCAGTCGGTCAGGGGACCACTTAGCACTTAACAGTTTAGAGAGCTTCACGCCCCGAATCTCATTGGAGCCTTTGCCAAAGCCCTGCCCAGGGCCACCGATGCCCCCATTTCACATGTGAAGAAGAAACCGAGGCTCAGACGAGCTTCAAGTCCCGGCAGGAACGAGTGACAGCGTCGGGACTAGAAACCGACCCTCTGCGGCCCGGCTGGCTCCCGAGCTCCTCCTCCGACCCTCCCTCTTCCTCGGACCCTCCCTCCTCCACGCTGTCCCCGGGGTGTACCTGCTGCCACGCGCCTCGTCGCAACTGCAGGGCTCCCGCCCCGTTCCCCTCTGCCGCGGGCCTCCAGGACGCAGGGTCCCGGCCCGCCGCTGGCAGCACCGCTGCGGGTAAGTGTGGGGCGCCCCATCCCACCCCGCTACCTGGGACGGGGCGGGGCTTGATCCCGCATGCGGGCCCGTCTGAGACTTGGGGGGTGAGTGGATGGAGACGAAGGAGACACTCTCCTCCTCACTCCACTCCCCAACTCCCTTCTCACCCCTTCATTCTGGACGGGGTTGGGGCTCCAGCCTCTGAAGTTTTCTGGACACCCCCTCCCACGTCCGCAAACTCCCAATCCGCCTGGAGTAGACGGAAAACTTGGAAGTGGGGAGGAGGAAAGGTAGTTCTGTTCCTGCGGAGGGGGTGCCAGCGGGCATTCTGGACTGGGGGTGACCGCTGGGCTCGGCTCCCGGCAGTCCCGGGGCAGGGGAAAAGCGGATAGCTGGGAGCTGGTGCTGGGGTACTGCATAGGGACCAGAACCGGCTCCACCAGTCCCGGGCCTGGGCTCGGAGGGAAATTCTTTGCCGGTGAGTCTCGTCCCTAGGGTGTGTCAGGCAGGACTGGGCAGACAGGACTGGAAGGTGGGGGCCTTTGGGGGCTGCCCCCAGGTGGGTCACCCTGGGAAGGCGTTGGGTGGAAGCACCTGTCCGGGGCCCTCTCTTCCCCGGGCTGGCTGACAGGGCGCCAACCTCCACTTCAGTTTTCTTGAATTCTCACCAGGTGACAGGCTCAGGCTTGGGAGGGAACGGCTTTTTTTAATGATTCTTACTACAGCTCAAGAAAGTAGGAATTATTTCCTTTTAGAGATAAGAAGAGAAAGGTCAAGGAGATTAGGAAATCTTGGGAGTCAACCGAGCTAGAAGGTACAGAGCTGAGGCTTGAATCCAGATGTGACTCAACTCCATGCTCCATACACATCCCAAAGCCCCGCCCCAAAGGACAGGTCTCAGAAGGAGCTGGGTGGGGGAGACACTTTTTTTTATACTAAGTATTTTATTTGTCTAATGCTGCCAAAATGTAAAATAATGTTCCTTGAGAGACAGAAATTCATGAAAATTCAGATATGTAGATGATTAAATAAACACTTTAATTCCCAATGGTGTTGAATTCTAGGAAGAAAACAAAGGGAAGAGGGGCAGAGTGACTAGGAGAGCAGGCACTTCCAGGCCCAGGGTAACCTTCAAGGCCTCTAGGGAGAGGATGTCTGAGCAGTGATGAGAAAGATTCAGCCATGCAAGGTTCTGGAAGAAGAGCATTCCAGGCAGCAGGAATAATTACAAAGCAAGTCCCCAAGGCCCCCATTGTGACTGGAGCAGAGAGAGGCAGGGTGGGGAGTACAGGAGATAGGGGGAGAATGTAGAATCTGAGGTTTCATTCTAAGTGTAATGAGAAGCTAGTAGAAAGTTTTAAACAAGGCAGTGACAAGGTCTGAGGTAATAATGCACTCTGGACACACAGAAGCAGACACTGAAAGGCCAGCAAGAGTGATGGTGGCTCAGAGCAACGTGGTGGCAATGGAGGAGTGAGGAGCTGAGCAGGGGGTGGACCCGCAGGCTTCAGGCATGCTCAGGGTCACAAAGCCAACTCTAGGAGCATTCACATGTACACACAAGCCCTCACACGCACACAGGCACATGCTCCCACACCCCCGACAGCATGCAGACAACTAGGTGTGCTCAGGCAGACCCTACCATCCACACCCTCTGAGTTACTTCAGGGCTGGGAGGAAGATGTATGATCCCGGGACCTAAACAAAGCATCTCTCCCACCACAAAACCCTGACTCCAGCATTGCTGGCGTGGCTGGGGCTTCCTCAGGCTTTGCACGGGGAAGGAGATTGTCTCTAGATTTTCCCTGGATCTGGTGTCCCCAGGAGCTAAACCATTACCCGCCTCCATGTACCCTCAACCTGAACTGGTCTCCCGGCTTCACCATCCACTGGCTGTGAGACCCTGGGGAAGTTATTTCCCCTCTCTGAGCCCCAGTTTTCCTCTCTGTAGAATGGGGCTCATAATCTCAACTTCACAAGTGAGGCATCAACGAGGTAAGTTTAAGAACTTGGTCTGGGGCAGGCATCCAGCAGAGAAGGGGAGAGGAGGTGGGGAGCCCAGCCCCGGCACTAACAGCCCAGCCCTGAATCCAACTCGTTATAAATGAGTGACTTGACCTCTCTAGGTTTCCAATGAGTATCCTGCATTTACTGAGCACTTACTGTGTATTAAGTGCTTTGCGATCATTGTCTCGGTTGATTATTAGTTTCTTCACCTGTCAATGAGAAGCATAATAGTATCTGTATCATAGGGTCCTTATAAGAATTAAACGAGGAGGGTGGGAAGGGACAGACTGGGATTTCAAACTGTAGAACAGATAAACAAGATTATACTGTATAGCACAGGGAAATATATCTAAGATCTTGTGGTAGCTCACAGCGAAAAAAAATGTGACTATGAGTATATGTATGTTCACGTATAACTGAAAAATTGTGCTCTACATTGGAATTTGACACAACATTGTAAAATGACTATAACTCAATAAAAAAAAAGTTTAAAAAATAATAATAATTAAACGAGGTCCTGACCATAGAGTTTAGCTCCTTGCCTGGCTCATCAGAAATACTCAATAAATAATAATAATTATTATCAGCAAGCGCACATTGCCTTCCTTCCGGCATCCTAGCTCTGTGAATTTAGGTAGGTTACTTAACCTCTCTGTGCCTGTTTCCTATCTGTAGCTTAGGAAGCTTAATAGTCCTGATCTCATAGGGTCGCTGCCATGATCAAACAAATCCATCGACGTAAAGAACTCAGAAGGCACCTGGTACCTAGTAAATACTCCGTTAATGCCGCCTGTTCATTAACCTATGGTTTTTCCTATTCGGTCAGGTGGGCCCGGCCCCGGCACCCTGATCAGGCACCATGGACTGGAAGACGCTCCAGGCCCTGCTGAGCGGGGTGAACAAGTACTCCACCGCCTTCGGGCGCATCTGGCTGTCGGTGGTGTTCGTCTTCCGCGTGCTGGTGTACGTGGTGGCCGCCGAGCGCGTGTGGGGGGATGAGCAGAAGGACTTTGACTGCAACACCAAGCAGCCAGGCTGCACCAACGTCTGCTACGATGAGTTCTTCCCCATCTCCAACATCCGCCTCTGGGCCCTGCAGCTCATCTTCGTCACGTGCCCGTCGTTGCTGGTCATCCTGCACGTGGCCTACCGCGAGGAGCGCGAGCGGCGGCACCGCCAGAAGCACGGCGACCAGTGCGCCAAGCTGTACGACAACGCCGGCAAGAAGCACGGCGGCCTGTGGTGGACCTACCTGCTCAGCCTCGTCTTCAAGCTCACCATCGAATTCCTCTTCCTCTACGTGCTGCACACGCTCTGGTACGGCTTCAGCATGCCGCGCCTGGTCCAGTGCGCCAACGTGGCCCCCTGCCCCAACATCGTGGACTGCTACATCGCCCGGCCCACCGAGAAGAAGCTCTTCACCTATTTCATGGTGGGCGCCTCCGCCGTCTGCATCGTGCTCACGGTCTGCGAAATCTGCTACCTCATCTTCCACAGGGTCGTGCGAAGCATTTCCAGGAAGAAGACTGCCCGCGGCCGCAGCCCCCCATCCTCCACCAGCCGGGCGTCCACCTGCCGCTGCCACCACAAGCTGGTGGAGGCTGGGGAGCTGGGCCTGGACTCTGGCGATGACAAGCTGCGAGCTTCAGCACCCAGCCTGACCCCTATCTGACCACAGGCAGGGAAGCCATCCTGGGGCTGCCAGTGGGGGTGCCGGTGGAGGGCTCTTACAGGTGCTGGGTGCCCCGACTCCTTGAATCCACTAAGCTATCCAATTTCGTTTTTAGCAGATATTTTTTGAGTGCTGGGCACTGCTATCTACCAGGGTATAGGTCCCACCACAGGCCCAGTGGCAGCCCTCCTGGGAGAGAGACACTGAAACAAGCAAATTAACTTCTGCCTGCTGGGGGACACTTAGATAGCTCAGAGCAGGGCTTCATCTAAGCCAGGTGTTTGGTTGGGAGTTGGGGTGGGGGTCAGAAGAGGCTTCCCTGAGGAAGTAATGCTGAAGAGAGGTGAGAAGTGCTTCCTAGCAGACAGAGCAGCGGGTGCAGAGGCCAGGAGGCCACAAGAAGAGAGATGCTTGCACCAGATCAGAGGGAATCCTCATTCCTTGGGGAGAAGCCCCCAGATTTCTGGGGTGGAAAGGAGTACTGTCCCAGCAGTGGGAGGTCCGGAGGCCTGAGAGTGAGCCTGGGAAGACCGGGGGACGCCCTGATGGCACTGACCCCTGCTTGAGACACCCAGGGATCCTCTAGGTCATCAGTGCCTTCAGAGGAAACCCCTTCCCCCAAATTCTACTCCCCCACCTTCCTCCCACAAGTGTACTCAGTCTGGTGCCAGCTTTTCAGACATTGCTGTCAGGGACTTGAGGTGGATGTGCCGACAGGAACGTCCCCCAGGCAGGTTCCTTGAAATCAATAAAGGCTATGTTTTATACAGGCTAGCTCTCCTCTGTTCTGCCACACTCCCACCTGCAAGACCCTGAGGGCAGAGAAGTTGGCCCTCAGAAGGGAAGAGAGCTCCATGGCTGGGGCTCCATGTGATTGTGGATATGGTCACAAGAGGGCGCTGTGCTCCCTCCACAACAGCACCTCGAGCCCTATAGAGTGCCACCCAGCCCCGAGCCCACACAATCACTGTCCTCTGGTCAAACAACGCTCCCTCCTCCTCTGTAACCCAATCACTGCCATGCACAGCCCGCATCCCCACCCTGTGTACACAAAACCCCTGTTATTCATACTCTCACTCCTTCCGTCTGCTCACAGCAGGCCAGTTGTCTCCTCTGAAGACCTGCCGCCTCAGCCTCACCAAGCCTTATCCGGGTCTTCCCACTTTCCCTGAGCATTTTCTCCACCCCAGGCCCCTGGCAGACACTGGGACTGCAGAGGGGAGTAGGACCTGAGCCCAGTGAACTCAGAGCCTTGGGGGGGACAGAAACACACTCATCTCCCCAACCACTAACCAACTAACCAACTCTGGGTGGCTCGTGGCCCCACTGTCACCACTGTGGGATGACCTGAAGTTTAGGGGACACCAACATCCAAGCCAGGTCGGAATGGAAAGTAAAAACCCAGAGGGACATTTAGTAACTATCAAAGCCAAGGTCAAGAGCCAGAAATCCAGGAGGCAGTGAGCCAAGAGCCAGTGCAGGCGGGGAAAGGTCGGGTCATTGTGTCTACAGAACGGGCTGGGGTTCACCTTTGCTCTCACGTGTAGCCATTAGTGAGGTGGAAAAGCCAGCCAAGGTTAAAGGGCCCAGGGCTTGGGTGACACCCATTCCTCAGGCTGAATCAGCTTAACCACTTCAGGACCACAGCTTCACGATGCTGCACCTAGGCCGGTTTTCAGAGCCTCAGTCTTGTCATCAGTACAATGGGAATTGTATCAATCAGGGTCTCAACAGGAAACAGATGGCAAACTGAGTAACTTCAGAGTTTCCTGGAGGGACTGTTTTTAAAGGTATAGGCATGACTCAGGAAACCGGCAAAGGGTACCCTGGGGCTAGTACCAGGGTAGCAAAGGACAGGGTTGCCACATAGGAGCTGTAAGGACACATCCACCCACAGCAACCAAATACAACTTCACTGTCCCATCTCCTGCTCTCCTGCCAGTGGCTCCTACTGACCCAACACAACCAGAAACCACAGGGCAAGGAAGCCTATCTGAGGCAGTCAGCACTGGTCAGCCTCCCAGGGCACAGAGCAGATCTGAAGGGCAAAACAAATAAATTCAATCCAGCACTCAGGACAGTACCGATTCCTAGGACCGTGGTAGAGATACAAGGAGACACTGTTGGTAACACATTAGTACAGTGCTAAAGTGTCCAGTAAATATCCAGGCACAACCATGCTTAGGAAAGTCCTTGCCTGCTGCCCAGGCCACCTCATATGTCAGTGCCATCTTGGGACCACAAAGGTTCCAGGGAGGAGTGATCTCCACCTATTTGCTACCATGCATTCCAGCATCTTCCAGGGCAGTTCTCACTGCCTGGACAAGGGTGGCTTGGAGGTCAGAGCAACCAGAGAACAACAGTGGCTATTCCAAAATGCACTGAGCCTCCAGTCCTGGCCCCACTTCTCCAGGCTGCAGGCCAGGACCACAGATGAGAGAATATTTCAACCCTGAGCGTCCCATCTTTGGCCTGAGAGCTGTCCCAAGCAGTGCAGCTCACGCTTTCCATCCAGCTTGTATTGAGCTACTGTTCAGCATTGAGAGTCCCCAGCACACATCACTGTCACCACAAGGTGGCTCTCATGTCCCCTGTCCTTCTCTTCTGAGGGTATACACTTTTGAGGGCACCCCATCACGTGAGGATTCACTACAAGCTTCCTTCAGTAGTCCTTGTGATAGATTTCGATTCTATCTACACACCTTCAAATCCACATCCACTGCGTGATGTAACAGCCACCCCGCAGCCCAAGGTAAACAGATTATTTTGTATTCAGCATCCTGATCCAAGCCCCCTGATACAGACTAAATGTTTGTGTTCCCCCCAAATTCATATGTTAAATGTTAACTTCCAATGTGATAGTATTAGGAGGTGAGGCCTTCAGAAAGTGATTAGGTCATGAGGGTGGGTTAGTGCTCTTATGAAAAGAGACACAAGAGGAATGATCTTTCTCTCTCTGTATCCATCGGCGAGGACGTGCTGAGAAGACAGCCCTATGTACACCAGGAAGAGGGCCTTCAGTAAGACCCCCAACCGTGCTGGCCTGGTTGGCCATGCTGATCCTGGACTTCCAGCCTGTAGAACCATGAGAGTAACTCTCTGTGGTTTAAGCCACCCAGTCTGGTATTGTTGCAGCACCCTGAGCTAAGACACCCCCATCATCTCTGGCCGGAAGTACGGCCACAATCTCCCTGCTCCCTGCCCCACCTCTGGGAAGCAGACGCTGAGGAAGAGTTAGGAGCACACAGGGTGCACGGGGAGTAACACCTTGAGAGGAAAGGGGAGGAGGCAGCCCTGACCAACAGGACCTGCTGCAGGGAGCTCTGTGTCCATCAGACAAAGATGGTCAGTTAGAGTCCCGCCTTGGCTGGAAATGGCTGGGCCCCTGACCACTGCTTGGTCCAGTTGCCTGGGGCCACCCCAAGCAGAGCCTGGACACCTGGACAGCTGAAGCAGACCCAAAAGTGTGAACAGCTGGAAGCTGTCAGCTGGCCAGACTCCACACAGCTGGGCAGCAAGTCCTACATTGAAGGGGGACGACTGCATCTACCACGTGGCCCCACAGCCTATTCAGGGTGATCCTGTAAAATCAAAGTCAGGCCGTGTCACTCCTCTGCCCCAGACCTCCAAAGGCAACTCGCACAGGCCTTTGGGGGCCTACAAGATCTGCCCCACCTGTTCCCTTTCTGAACTCCCTTCTTCTTGCTGACCTCACACAGAGACCTTCCTGCTGTCTCATGAGCAGGAAACACCAGGCAAGCTGCTGCCTCAGGGCCTTTGCCTCTCTCTCCCTCCGCCTGGAAAGTGCTTCCCCCTCCACCCCCAAGAGCCACAGGGCTCCCTCCCTTCCTTCAGGGCCTGCATCAAAGGTCAGCTGCTTTGTGGAAATTTCTCCTCTCTTCTATTAAAACTGAAACCCCTACCCCCTGAGCCCCAATCCTCCTTTCCTAGCTTACTTCCCACACAGCATTAATCACCATCTACCAGGTTCTGCACTTTGTCTCCCTCCGGCTAGCATATAAAATCCAAGAGACAGGGATGTTTAACGTTGCTGTTCCTGGTTGGTCTCCAGTGCCAGGACAGAGCCGCAGCACCAGGCGGTGCTCGGTAAGTATCTGTTGATTAATAAATTTGTATTTGGGCCTGGTGCCCTACTAGATACTGGGGTAAACAGGACCCAGCTGCCTGCCCTCAAGGGGCTCACAGACTAAAAGGGGAGAGATAAAGACAAAGACATTTAAACAATGCATCCCAGGTTGGGGGAGAGGAAAAGGGGGATGTTTCATCTGTGCAGAGCTTCAGTTTTGCAAGATGAAAATGCTCTGGAGACCTATTGTACAACAATGTACATGTACTTAACGTGACACAACAGTGTACCCAGGGGCTGCATGAGGGCTGCTGAGAGCACAAAGGAACACGTAACCCAGAGGAGGCCAGCAAGGGAACTTCTGGGAGAAGGAGCATGGAGCCAAGTCCTGAAAGACAGTAGGGCTGAACATGTGAGGATGCTCCAGGCAGAGGGGACAGCAGGCACGGAGGCGAGAGTCAAGTATGGCTGGATCACCAAGTGAAAGGGGAAGAGGGATGAGGCTGGAGAGGTGGCCGAGGCCAGGAGGCAAAGGGGAGCCATGGAAGGGTTCTGAGCCAGGCAGTGTGTGGTCGGATTGCTGGGGAAGGGGCAGGGCTGGAGGCCAGGAGACCAGCTGGGAGGCCACTGAGATGGTGGCCTAAACAGGGTCAGGGCAGGGAGGAACAGAGGGAGGTGTGGGACCCTAAGGACGTTTCCCAGGTGGGATGGCCAGGTTGTGGGATTGTCTTGGCTGACCCCAGTGCCTCCTTTCCGGGAAGGGTGGGGTCATTCAAACCCTGACCTCCAGAGCCCCTGAGGACGGGGTGAGGGTGAGGGTGAGGTCAGCTCCTCCCTCCTTCCCAGTAGAAGGGCTCAGAAAGGCTTTGGAAGAGCCTGGGCCTGGCCACAGGAGAGGAACCCTGGGAGCAGAGGCTGGGGGGTGGGGAGGGGGAGGCGTGGTGAGGACCGGCCCCCAGGGACCTGCGTTCTCATGCCCTCAGGGGTCAGAACTAAGCGGGCTCAGCTGTCAGTTTTGGGAATCCAGGAGGCTCGGCAGCCTGGCCCTGAGGGACAGGCCCAGAAGGGGGGCCAGCTCAGCCTGAGCTTGAGGTTCTGAGCCTGAGCTGATCCCCCAGCACTTCCTGCCCCAGAGGTCCTCTGCTAGGGTTGAAGGCAGGACCCTCGGGGACTCACCCCAGGACACTGGGGGTCCAAAGACTGAATCCTGTTGTGGAAAAACAAGGACCTTTCTGCCACCAGCTCCAGGGCTCAGACCCCACCTGCCACATTCCCTTTCCTTAGCTACTCTATCCTTCACCAGTGTTCCACCCTTGAGCTTCCTCCCTCTCTGCTACCACCAAGACTAATCCCCAGACCCTTGTGGTCACAAATGTTTTGTCACAACTTATTTAGCCATCATCCACTGGAAAACTTCCTGTGTACCAATATGATGCTCTGTGCTTTGATTGGATCTCCCATCAACCCTACATGTAGGAACCATTACCATATTCTATCTATGAAGGAAGAAACGGAAGCACAGGGGGTTAAGCAACTTACCTAAGGGCACAGGGATCAACAGCAAAGTCTCCATTCTAGGCCCTATTGCCTCTGCCCAGTGAGGCCTGTGAAGCCTCAAGAACTTGCAGCCTCCTTGGGGCTTTGCTCATGCTGTTCCTTCTGCCTGGAATGCTCCCCCACCC